ACTTTGGCTTGGCTCAATAATACCGTGTTCCATCATGTAAGAAATTTCTTGGCGCATAGTCTTAAATCTTTGTGGATTAATCTTATAAAAATGTTGTTTGATGAATGCAGCACTTCCCACATCCATATCATGATACAGTGATGTTGTTCGGTTCGGCAAATCGGGAAATTAAAATTAGTGCTAAGGGCAAACAATTCATCCCTTTAACTAGAAGGTAAGGGAAAAAGTTTCACTTCAAGATTATTCAATATTTCGGAATTATTTAATTTGACACGGTGGTCATTTTTAAAGTCTATATTTTCTTTATCTGTGATAGATTCGGATTCATGGATCACTAACACAGGATTATCCTCAGTCCGAAAGAAATATGGTTTAATCATATCAATATGTCATAGCGGGGTAGATTTCCTACGATCAGGAGTATTTAGAACATAGTTAAGGTCTCTAATTATTTTATAAGAACCAGGATATCTAGCTTTGAGGTGGGTGATTAGACGTAGGTAGCAACATAAACACTTGATCACCTTTCGCTCAACAACTTCTCTATCATACCGATTTTTCATTTTCTTTTTGGTTGGCTGAAGATTTTGATGGGCTAACTCGTTTGCTTCGGTTAGGCGTGTTCAGAACTGAGATACGTAGTTTAACAAATTTACATTCTTCGGGTTTTCTTGTAACCAAGGTACTTTTAACAGTTTCAGAATGTTCAAACACCAACTCAAAAAGAGTAAACCCGAGTGATTCTTGGACAGATTCGCGGGTGACAAATAATAGAAAAGGAAATACCCTCATCCCATTCTTTACAATGCTTTAAATAGGTTTGAATCCTGTTCTTTAATGTGGAGTGAAACTGCTCCAAAGAATCTTGGGATTGTGGATGGTAACCGATAGATTTAATAGAAGCGACGTCTAATTGACTGATCACTTGGTGAAATAATTTCTAAGTAAAATTCGATCCTTGATCCGATTGTACAACCTCTGGTAGTCCTACTCTAGTGAAGAAGGTAGAAATAGCTTTTACAATCTTTCGAGCCGAGAGCCCGTAGAGCAATGGCTTCAGTAAAACGGGTTAAAGCACACATTATAGTCAACATATATTGGTTTCCCAACTTGGTTTAAGGGTAGATGACCAATACAACTAATATTCACTCGCCCGATGGATTCTTCGAATGCAGGAATCGGGTTTAACGGAGTAATAGGGTTCTTTTGATTGGGTTTCCTGACTATCTGTCATATATGAGACGTTCAGCAATATTAAGACACATATCTCCAAATGTCAGGCCAATAAAAATGCTTTAATATTGTTATGGGAACTTACTCATAATAATAATGGACTATTCCTGACATTATAAATACTGCGCCTCTCAAGAGGTATGAGGAGATTGTAAGACAAGGAGAGATAATTGAGAGCATATTGGAAGGACATTAGAATAGTGATACTTGTCGAGACAACATAGTTCACTCTAACAAAATCTGATAGTCATTACTAATACTTCTACTTCTTTGTATTATATTTCTGTTGTAATATATCTTTGTATTCCATATTGTTATTCTTTCATTGGTTCAAACCTTAGACCATCACCGTGGTACATGGAACTTGGACCATAACAAATATTTTATTACAAGTTTTATTTATTCTTAAATAGCCTTCCAGAGGAATTTCGTGTGCAGTTCGCAGTACTTCTGGTCAATAAATCTTAGGAACAACCACCTGATGGACTACTGCCCAATGTCCGGTATCTGGAATATGAGAAGGCTTCCACTTGCTCATAAGTACGGTATCTTTTATAAAATATCCTGTATTAATTTTCTTCAACTTTTCCACCGATACCACATTATCAAAAAGAGGTATAATTTCACGATCTTTCTTCTCTTCCATTACATATTGATTCCGATACAAAGGAATACCAATGACAAGTTCCACAATACCAACGTCACATTTACTTGCATGTTGAGTATGATGATAAGAATTCACGTTTTCAGCAGAATTCAAGAAAGTCTGGGATAAATCAATTATCCCATTCCTCATAACATTTCTGTTTATTAACTGTTTCTCTCTTTCGAGGAAATACACTAGGTCTTTTTTTAAAAACTTTTTGGAGATGGATGATGGCTTTCCAGCCAACCAACTCATTACCCAAATGGACACACATGGACACACCCTTCACAAGTAATTTGGGAACAACTCCCACAACACTAGCTCCTGAAACAAATTCGGACACAAAATAAATACTATACAAGGGGATTTTAATTTCCTTACTAACGCCTTGAATAGTTACAAATATCTCTGTGTTTGAATTCGACTCACGTGGTAAGCGACTTTTTAAAATCAGGGATAGGATAGCTCCCGTATCCTGTAAAATTTTAGCTGGTATCTTAATACTAACGTTACGCACATCAGCTACAGACCCAGTAAAAATATAGGGTTTGTATTCTTCCTTAACATTTTCAACAAAAATCTTATCCGACATACTGTAGTTAAAATATATCAACCCCTGAGGTTTAACCTGGGTTAGCCCTCTGGAATCGTCATTCTTTTTAACCCAAAAATTTACTATTACGTGTCTTGCTTTATTGCAATATTGAAACATGAGGAGTTTTCGATTCCATTCACCATTTTGTCGAGATTCTGAAGATTTAAAATACTTATTTTGGTAATTCGAACTTTTGTTATTGTTTTTATAAGAATCGGGAAAATGGTCAGGTTTATATGGTTGCCTTGACTTAGGACTTGGATTTGGATTAAATCCAAATTTATATGCTAAACAACCTCCTGATTCAAGTGAATTATGGGACTTAGGCTTACAGCGTTTATGTGCCAAAACGTAATCATTAGCTAACTCAACCATTTAATGTACATTATCAACTCGTTTCTGATCTAAATAGATTTGCACATAGTCTGGAACGTATTTCTTGAATTCTTCAATTAGGATCATTTGTCTAAGATGGTCGTACTCAAATCAAACTTCTTTAGATAAACTCCTTCTATCAAAATATGTTTCTTTTTGACTGGCAAACTCTACATAAGTTTGTTAGTTATTTTTCTTTAACCCCCTAAACTTCTGACGATAGGCCTCTGGTACTAAGTTTTTGGATAGCTAATCCAACTATACAATAATCATTATATTCGGAGGATGATAAAGCAACATAGGCCTTTTGTGCCTTACCCTTTACTGCAATCTGTAATAATATGGCCCACGAATTTGTGGACCACTCCAAACTAATAAGTTTTTTCGAAGTGTAGGAAATATTTATTTACTTTGTTTTCATTAAAAATTGGGACGAGTCTAACTTACTTGTCTAAATCAAATCTTTTCTCTCTTTGTTCATTATTTATGCGTTGTTCTTCGATTTCTCTAAAACAAATTTCTTCTATTATTTTAGCTTTCTTGATCTCAGCACTGGTATTAATTTTGATCATCTTCAATTCAAACAACAGCGTAGAAGATAATTCCAGAGTATCTGTGCTTAGCTAAAATATGCTCATAAAAAATGTCACTATACAACAGCTGCAATCTTTCTGATCCGTTAGTGTAGAGACGCACCCTATCATTGAACGGCACATGAAAAGAACATTCGTCGAACGCTACATACGAAATTGACAATTTAACCCTTGACCCAATTTAAAAGCGCTCAAGGTCGTATTTAAAAAAAAAATAGAACGCAGAATAAAAGATAAATTATTATTTTTTAGGATGGGGATTATATTAAATATCAGTACTTTAAATGGTTGATTTAGCTTAATTATTTTTAAGATAAGTAAGGAGGGTCATGTCAGAGCGGTTAACCCTAGACTTGAAGAGGTTAAAATTGTCATGATCAGGACAGCATCTTCTTAGGAGTCGGTTCCGTAAAGCAGCAGTTCTTGAGAAGAAACTGTCCGAATGGAACTTATTTTTTACTAACGGAATACGAAGGGATGATTCAGCCTCGTGTACGTGTCGTGGAGGGTCTTTGCCTCAAAGGTCAGCACTAGTGGAACCAAGTATTAAGCGCTCGTCAGAACATTTGCCATTGAAATAGCGATAGAGTAGCGATAGGCTTGTCTCCGTTCGTCTGTGAAAAAAGGAGTGAAGAGTGGAAAATAATTAACAACATTATTGGTATATAATAATTTAACTTAACAACTTTTGTTTAATCTGGAGAAAAAGTGTACGAAACAATTAGTGAGAGTAAGAAAAGATTAATGTTTATTCATTCAGTAATAATCTATACATTAATTGACGTCTCTTTTTCAGCAAAAATAGTGACATAGATCGAGAGATAGATAGATAGATTTGAACAGACTGGGATAGATAGATTTGAACAGACTTGGATAGATAGATAGATAGATAGATAGATAAAGATGAATAGATAGATAAATTTGAACAGACTGGGATAGATAGATAGATAGATAGATAGATAGATAAGTAAAATTACTGAAAATTTAAGATATCTAAGACGAAAAATAGATAGATAGATAGATAGATAGATAGATAGATAAAATTACTGAAAATTTAAGATATCTAAGACGAAAAATAGATAGATAGATAGATAGATAGATAGATAAAATTACTGAAAATTTAAGATATCTAAGACGAAAAATAGATAGATAGATAGATAGAAAGATGGATAGATATCTTTCTAAATTTCCGAAATGAGTAATTATCATTAATATATTTTGATGTATCTATATGAGTGCTTTCATTATCAAAATGAAAGCACTCATATAGATACAATGTTATGAATGCTTCTTTCTTTCTTCTGTCTATCTCAGCCTGTGAAGTTGGACTTAGGCTTTCCCCTGATACATTCAGAGGAATGGGTCTTTACCCTACAGCGCTGGGCCAATGCATGTTAATAAGATCGGATGCGACACGTTTGCGCCATCGTGTCCCCTTTCGGTTGATGCTTGCCCAAGCTTATTTGCGCGTTAGTGAATGTAATGAACCCGACTGGAATTCAACTTGGCTCTTACTCATTCCGAGCCGTTGTCCATTACACCACACACAACATCAAAACCTACAGCACCTGGTATTCCCAGGTGGTCACCCATTTTGGTACTGATCATTATCGAAGTTATTTAACTTCGCTGAACGGACGAGAACCGGTGATTTAAGGTGATGTTTAGAAAATAATAAAAGACTTCTAAAACCCCACCGCCCGATTGTTTAATTGGGCAAGTGGTAATGGCAGCGGTAAAGTGCATTCCGTTACCAAGATGTGGTTATAAGCACCATAATACGAATATGAGAGCATAATATATAATTAATAAATATGGATAGATAATAATAAAGTATATATTGGTATATATACACACGGCAACAATGTGGGGAACCAACGAAAGATCGAAATATAATGCGAAAATCTACCGAACATAATCACTACGAGAGAGCGGCAACATATATTGAAACCTATAACTTGATTTGGATTGATGAATTAATAATAGGAGCACAGAATCTACTATGTATATTTTACTTCGATATAAGTTTTATCTTTCGTTACATAAATACGACGCTAAATAAATAATCGATGACAACGTATGTGTCTTCTTGAAGATTAAAAAAAAATGTGAAAATAAGACAATCTGAGATAGAAGGTTGAAAAATCGATTTTCACTGTACTGGTAACATTGATAGTTCTTGGTAAGAAATCCAGCTTATGGCGACATTACGTTGAAACAGCGATTTCCGTATGATCACCTTCAAGCCTAGTCAGTTGCCTGATGGTTGACAACTTGGGAATATCAGGTGGTGTGTTGGGTTGTGTAAGACTGTGTATTTACTCACTTTTATTCCTATTCTCATCTTTTTTCCATTATTTTTCGAACAACCTTTATATATATATATATATATATATATATATATATATATATATAATATATATATGCAACACACACATACATACATGCATATATATATATATATATATATATATATATATATATATATGATAAAAATATAATTTAATGCATGCTACATTTATGAGTTAAAGTGCTCAATATCAGGGCTAGAGCGTATGTAAATATTAAATGGACATTGAAATCAACACCCAGCGAAGAAAGTCTGTTTCCTGCTTAACTCACTGTCTCTCTGTCTCTGTCTGTCTGTTTGTCTCTCTCTCTCTCTCTCTCTCTCTCTCTCTCTCTATATATATATATATATATATATATATATATATATATATATATATATATATATCGTAAATGTAACAAACCCCTTGCTATATAATCCTAGTAATATAAAATATATTAAAACAGATCCACAAAAAGGGCTGAATGTTTTTATTATTACAGAGCGAATAATTAATAAACAATAAAATCCCAAATCACCTCATATGGAGAATAGTCTATTTCGGCAGATGAAGATATCGGTCGTCTGTCTATCAACCCCAGTGTGGGCTGAGTTCGTATCAAAAATACAAATTTAACTGTGAAAACTTAAAAAAAAAATCGAAAACTAATACACAATTTATCCATTTGAATGTTTCAATGTTTCAATCAGACGAAAGGCAGAAGACGAGGATCAGCGGGGGGTCGAAGGTATTAAAGGGAAGAAGTTTTATAAAATGAAACCCGAATATTAAACTTATGACATTAATTTGGTGTTATATGAAGAATGAAAATTATAAATTTAAAATTAAAATAGGAATAAAAAGGGTTTAAAAATAACTTTAAAATATATAGATAAAAGGATGTAATGGATTAATGGAAAGAGAGATGGGGATATCTTAGAGTAGGGTGTGTGTGTGGATTGATAATGGCTTGGAATTGTCGGAGAGCTGAGTCCTGCGTGTTCTATGCTGCAATTTTACTGAACGGACCTTAGTCACCCTTTCTGGGGAGAGAGCGCATTATTTAGCGTGATCTAAAGCCTGATCAAGGCCAGTACGCTCAAGCCCTCGGTAATGATGACTTGCGACTTCGTACCAGATCAAATACCGATGGCTACCAAATAATTGCCTCTATCCAGTTTCACTCAGTTTGGGTCAAACAAATGTTCCCCTCCCTCTCTGTCTCAACATATATATATATATATATATATATATATATATATATATATATATATATATATATATTACGGAACAATTGTCGCAATAACAAAATGTAAAAAAAAAACCTAAAAGATCAAAAGATATGACAAAGGTTTACCACTCCGTATTCTCTTACAGGTTCAAATACTTGCATGAAGAGAAACTATCAACGGTAATGAACCACAAACGCAATATATATAATTTAATTAGATTCAATTATAACATCACGATACATGAAAACATTAATGGAAGATAGTGCGTGGAAAGATGTTTGCTGTACATTTCTGAGTGGAAAGATGTATGCGTTATATATCTGATATGAATAGTTAAAACCCTCTTAAGTTTAGTCTTCCGCCTGAAATAAATTCGGGTTTTTGTCTTTTCACTTTTCTCTCTCTTTCTTTCTTTTCATATTTCTCTTTTGTTCCTTTTACTTTCACCTCAGTTCATTTCCCTTGTGCATCGACATATTTTTAAGTATTACTATCTTCACTGTTATGAGATTAAATCCCAAGTGTTAGTCGTTTACTCTCTTCTTCACATATTCAGCAATATAGAATTTATAGTTCGGGTAGGAAGTTTCGGCGCTCTGCATCTACTTGAGTGGGTCACACATGCCTGTCTTAGCTGATTATTATGTTTAGTAATTCACTTGGGCATTTGATATAGGCAGCAAGATGTATTGAGTTGAGTTGAATTTGAACTCGTTTTCATTGCGCGATATCTTGACAGTAACAAGAGAAAAAATATGACACTAGCTTAAGACCGGGATTCCAATTAATTCCCTTCGTTATTTTCCCGCTCGATGTTTCGTACTTAATCACGTGATTCGGCAAGTGTAAGAATCTATGTTCAGATGTCGCTTGAACGTGTTACTAGGTCATCAGCCTATCTAACCTAATTTTTCTTGTAGTAAGCGACTATTATTACACATTGAAAGAGAGAGGGTGAGTGGATATACTATATTATAGTTAGGTGGAAAAAAAGATGGTATGCTAAGTGTATAATGTGTATATATATATATATATATATATATATGTGTGTGTGTGTGTGTGTGTGTGTGTGTGTGTGTGTGTGATAAAAATAAAACTTATGGCATGCTATATTTATTTGTTAAAGTACCCAATAGCAGTGATAGAGCGTATATAAATATAAAATGCACATTTAAGTTGACACCCATCCGTCACGGTCTGCTTCATACTTAAACGGAATCTCTAGGCCATATCCCTCTCTCTCTCTCTCTCTCTCTCTCTATATATATATATATATATATATATATATATATGTGTGTGTGTGTGTGTGTGTGTGTGTGTGTGTGTGTGTGTGTGTGTGTGTGACTATATATATATATATATATATATATATATATATATATATACGGGTGCAAGAGCATGATTATCCATCCCACAACATGTTTAATATCTAGAAAACAACTAAACTAATTTAGTCTCTTTTACCAGATTTTCAGATAAGACGTTTAACCATCTTAACACAATTTTTCGTAAGAATCACTGAAAAACCCTTTGACATATTCAGCTAGAAATAGAACAGGTTAAAACTGTTTTGTGTCAAACCCATTGTCTTTCCAAATGAGCAATGGTGAGAAGAAAAAAGGTCATTCAGGCATTCAGTAATGTTCCCAACATTGATACTCTGGCTTCCATCTTCAAAGAACCACCAAGAGAACGGCAAATAAGGTTAAAAAAGAGGGAACAGTAGAGTAGAAAACTGGATCAGATGGTTAAAATAGGAAGAGAAGGCGAAGATAATTTTGAATAAGTTGGAAAATGATTCTGGAATATATATATATATATATATATATATATATATAAAGAAATAATCATACATAGAATCAATAAGCAATATTAATGCGAATAATGGCGAAATCACTTCGCTAGTAGAAACATAATGTATGCATTAAAATACTTTTAATCCACTGAATGATGTGATCCCCATTTATAAAACTGTTGTCAGATGTTTCTAGTGTATATTTTTTTTAAAGTTAAGCAAGTACTTTCGAAGAATCATTCCTTCATCGTCAGGCTGTATTTTTTTTCTTTAAAGTTAAAACTTGAAGACGAAATAATTGTTTGTAGACCGTAAGATGTTTTTTTTAAGAGTCTGCTATTTATTGACGGTTGTACAATCTCGGAACGTGCGAGTCGCAACGCTAAATTTTGAACTTTAGCGTTGCGACTAGCACGTTCCGAGATTGTACAACCGTCAATAAATATACACGAATTAAAAAAAAACATCTTACGGTCTACAAACAATTATTATTCATGCGCTTCCGATCCTCAGCTGTGATTAATTAATGATGAACACTTTTGTCTGTATTTCTGGTATTGTAATATTTTGCATTATTTACATTGTTGTCCTCATCTTTACTGTCATCTTCAAGACTTTTCTGAGACATCCAGAAGAGGCATTGCACGTGGAACTAGAACAATCTTTCCCGGTGGACGAAATAAAGAGTTCAGTTCGAAATTCCAATCACCTGAAGTATCCCGGAGCGTACAACCACTGAAACGTCGTGAACATGACATTAAATGTGAGGACAACAATACGAACAATGTAAGTTATGTCATTTTAAATTATGATCCATTTTATCATGATTTTTCTGTTAAGCATGGAGAGTAGTTAGACATTCTTATTGCTCAAAGTATAATTCAATAGTGTTATATATATATATATATATATATATATATATATATATATATATATATATATATATAAGAACTCAAAAAATTCCATTAGGATATTATTTGTAAAATACAACGGTTTAATCTAACAAATGGACAATTTTCTTTTTACACAATTTGCCTAATTTTGCTGTTATACCCGTTATATATAACCTGCATCTGCGTGTCTTCTAGCAGTTATATATATATATATATATATATATATGTGTGTGTGTGTGTGAATATATAAATATATGTAAATGTATATATATATATATATATATATATATATATATATATATATATATATATATCAATTTTGGTATTCAACCTAACACACACACACACACAAATATCTATCTATCTATCTATATATATATATATATATATATATATATATATGTGT